ATATATATAAAACAAAACAGATGAAAGGTGGATATGACCCTCAGGCCAGTCTGTTGACCTTTTGCTAAGTCCACAGTCAAAGCCAGGGATGTCAACCAGGCCTCAGTCACTTCTCAAAGATGTCACTATGACACTGACAGTAATGCACTCTATGCTTCTGTGGTGAACTCTTACAATCCATCCTTCATTCATTTCGAGAGACCTTAGTAAAATGCAAACCTGATCACATCACCCCACGTTTAAACTTGTGAACAGCTCCCAGACAAGATCCAGACTCACCCTGGAGACCAACAGCAACTCTTCCTGCTGCCCCTCTTCACACTCGATCCACTAACAACTGTATCAAGCTCTTGCCATTCCCTAAGCAAATTAAGTTTTGGTCCCCACCATTTCTACTGTTTTTCTTGCCCAGATACTCTCATCCTCTTTTAAAATAATTTTTTTGTGTAGGTAACACTGACTCATCTTGCAAGACTGATATAACGCCTGTTCTCCTGGAAACCCTCATTTGTCCCTTCTTGGTGGCACTTCAAATGTTCCATTCCTGTGCATTTATCATAAAATAGTGCTGCGAGCAGCCCACATGCTGGTCTTCACCTCTAAACTGGAACTCCTAGAGAATTCAGAGTATATCTTAACACTGTTTGCCTGACACACAGTAGGGACTCAAAAACTATTTAATGAATAATTAACTTTCTAGACCACAGTCTATAAAAATAAGGTGTTTGCCCAGATGATTTCTCATATACCTTCCAGCCTCACTCTCTCTGACTATTCAATCTAATGGTGGGGGTGGGGACCACATTCCTGAAGCTAATGTGACTTAAGTCCTGTGTCCTTCTAGGCACCAATGCTGTGATAACAGAGGGCAAAGGCTGTTTCCTTCTGTGCTTCCCTCATGCTCACTGCTGATTCTACTCCTCTCCTAGCAAGAGCTTAGAAGAAAACATTTCACTCTACAAGACTCTAGTTAAGTTCTTTAAACAACTCACATACTACTTACAGATGAGGTCTCCGATGCCAGATCAACTCTAATACGAAATCCATCAGCAATTTGGGCCCCATTTCTGTATTACACATACGAAGGGAAAGTGGCTGTTAATAATGAGCACTGAGTTACAATTATATTTGCTCTAAAGTGAAACCAAAGACTAAAATATACTCATACATATTTAAATATAACTCTGTTCAAACCTCAAAGTGATAAAATTACCTGTTCAATGCTTTAGTAGCAGCGGTCTCATCCTTAAACACAACATAAGCATTAATATTTTTCTGGTCAGGATGAATTTTACGTCTACACATACACCAAAAAAAAAAAAAAAAAGTCAATACTATAAAATTTGTTAATGCCAAAGTCACTAAAACAAACACAGCTTGTTTTCTACTTTCAATCAACATATAGATAAGAACTCCTGGCAGAGTTTCATCTGTTTCAATAAATATTTAGTAATAACCCCCCAAAATAATATACCACTTATACAGATAACTGCTGAAACATGTAACCCATTCTTCTCCTAGTCATTACTGTGAGTGGGCCATTCGTGCAATGCTGCAGTCTACAAACTATTAATCTTAGCTGCAGCTCTAATTCACACAAATAGATGTGAAGGACAGCTTGATTTTTCCTTTTTAATGTAAAATAAAAACTGCACAAGCATGTCTAGTTAATTATGAACAGGTCAGCGCCCTTCAGCCATCGCCCATCCCAGAAGCTTCTTTCTGCGGCCCTTCCCAGATTGCAACCCTAGTAAACCCTATCCCCACTTTTATAGGCACCACTTTCCTGCATGACGATGTGGTTCTACCCCCAAAAGTGTCTATTCCTGGACAATGTACTTGGACCGTGTCCATTTTCCCAGTTGAAAATTTCTTTTTTCTTTTTTAAAAATTTTTATTGGGTAACAGTGTTTTTTCCAGGACCCATCAACTCCAAGTCAAGTTGCTGTCCTTCAATCTAGTTGTGGAGGGAGCAGCTCAGCTCCAGGTCCAGTCACCTTTTTCAGTCTAGTTGTGGGGTGGGGGTGCAGCCCACCATCCCATGCAGGAATCGAACTGGCAACCTTGTTAGGAGCACATGCTCACCAGCTGAGCCACCCGGCCACCCGAAAAGTCTCTTGAGTCTTGTTTATTAATCTATAGGGTTCCCCCTTTGTCTCTATCTTACTGTTTGACCTATGGCATTTCCCAAAGCCCAGATGTTGCTGACTGCAGGCTCACAGTGAACTTCAACATGTGCCCCTGTATTCCTTGCAAATTGGCAGCTGAATACAGAGTTTTATCAGGCCTATAGGTAGTGTTGTGTTCTTTCAATGGGAGGCATATTAGTTTTGACTCCTTTTAAAGATTGCAGTCACTGCTGCTCAATGCCTAAAATCACTAATTCACTAAGTTTGCAAAATGGTGATATAAGTTAGATGTGACAATCAGAAAAAAACAAAACAAAAAAAAACTAGTAATGACTACAGGTCCTTCCCTGAAGACATCACCCTATTTTTTTGTTTGTTTGTTTTTTTTAAGACTTTTATTGGGGAATTGGGGGATGGGAACAGCGCTGGGGAATTGGGGGAAGGGGAACAGATAAGTTGCTGTCCTTTTGTTCTTCAGTCTAGTTGTAGAGGATGTTGCTTCACTGGCCAAGTTGGCACCATCATTGTGCTCTTCCCGGGCGAGGCAGATCAGTTGCCGGCTTCTGGACGGCCACTCACAGCGGCTGCTGGCCGTTCACGCTGGCTGCTGGTTACATACAGTAGCCCATGGCAGCCCACTGCAGCAGGAGTTGCAGCCTACGCCATCGCCGGCGACTCATGGCAGCTCCAAGTTGAGCTGTTGTTCAGCATCTTAGCTGTAGAGGGCAGTGTTACTGGCCCTCATATGTGGGATCTGAACTGAGGCCCTCTGGCATCCCAAGCCAGCTCTTAACCAATGTGCCACTTGGCCGGCCCATCACCCTATTGTTTTGAAGTAACAAAAATGCTAAGTCAAATGAGTATCAAGAAAGGTACTAGAGGCTGGCTGAGTGGCTCAGTTGGTTAAGTGTTAGCTTAAGAGTGCGCGAGCTCTGAGCAACAGGGCTGCCGGTTCAATTCCCACATGGGCCAGTGATGCTGCGCCCGAGCTGAGCTGCTGCTGAGCTGCCCACAGGTGGCAGGATGGCTCAGTTGGTGAGAGCACGTGCTCCTAACAACAAGACTGCCTGTTCGATGGTGGGCTACGCCCGCCTGCAACTAAGACTGAACTCAGCACCTTGAGCTGAGCTGCCACCCAGATGGCTCAGTAGACAGAGCATTCGCTCTCAACAACAAGGCTGCTGGTTCAACTCCCGCATGGGATGGTGGCTACACCCACCCACAACTAAGACTGAACGCAGCACCTTGAGGTTAGAGGCCACGAGCTGCCGATGGGCAGCCAGATGGCAACTGGTGCCCTCCACAATTAAGACTGAAGAACAACAATTTGGCTGGTCCTCTCCCTCAATTAAAAAAAAAAGAAAGGTACTAGAAAATAATGTCAGGGATTGGCTCATGGCATTCTGTAATAATATACTATACTATCTAATAGTCTTATACTGATAAAGCAGCTGTGATCTACTGAATGCCTAATATAGGCATTCTATGTATCTCATTTAATCTCCCATCTCTGATATGGGTGTTAGTTTTATGATTTTATGGATAAGGAAACTACAAGAAGCACATGACCATGATCATAAGGTAAGAGAGGCCAGCCTAGGACTTCAACCAAGTCTGGCTGACTCTGGAGCCCCTACTCTTTCCAAGCAACACAACACTGCTGACAACATCCAAATCCAACATATCCTAGTATAACCCTAGTGTCTGAATATTTGTGTCACTCCAAATTCATATGTTGAAATCCACTTAATGCCCAATGTGATGGTAACTGGAGGTGGGGCCTTTGGGAGGTGCTTAGGTCATAAAGCTAAGGTTCTGATGAATAGGGTCAGTGCTCTTTAAAAGAGCCCCCACAGAGCCCCCAGCCCCTTAGGTGATGTGAGGACACAGGGAGAAGGGCTGGCTGAGAATCAGGAAGCCAGCCTTCACAACACAACCCTGCTGCGTCCAGACCTCAGGGACCCAGCCTGCAGAACTGTGAGAAGCGTCTGTTGTTGACCAGCCATCAAGTCTATGGTACTTCGTTACAGCAGCCTGATCAGATTGAGACAAACCCCAACACAACATAAACGGAAAGTGACTTAAAAAAATGTGAATAAGGACCCGCCGAGTGGCTCAGTTGGTTAAGAGCTCACTCAAGAGTCTGAGCTCTGAGCAACAGTGGTTCGATGCCCGGCCCAAGCTGAGCTGCCACTGAGCTGCCAACAGGCGACAGGATGGCTCAGCTCAAAAAAAAATACAAAAACAAAAACGTGAATAACTATAGTGTACTGCTGCTATTCTGAAAAACAGTGTCCTTGGCACAGGGACGACGAAGAGCCAGCTTGTAGCTCTGCCCCTTCCTCCCTGGTAAGAACATGTCTGTATCAAGCTTGATGGAAGATTCTGAACAATGAAATCCAGGCATTAATGACTCCTATAGTTCTACTTCACCCAGAAGGGAGAATGCCAGGAACAGCACTGTTCCCGCCCTAAACAGGAAGAAACCAGATAACCTACAACATCCTAACTTTTGTTGAAGCCATCAGAGAGCTGCAGTCAAGGGGAACCAAGCAGCCTGGGAAGTGAGAAAGGACAGGCCCATCTGAAGAGGCAGGAGGCGGCGCTGGCTCACAGGATGGGCACCAGAAAAGCACAAGTGAGCAGGAAGATTGCAGCTCCGATTTTACTGAACTGCCAAATCCAGTGTGGGCTGGGCCTGAAACGGAATCTCAGGCAGCCACCCAAACAGGATGTGCGCCCACTCGCAGGCTCCACCCCACTGCCCTCTCTCTGCAGGAGTCCCGGGGAAAGACTGAGGGCAGGTGGGAGGCAGAGAGCACCCCCGGGAGTCAGGGACTGGAGAACAGAAGGGCAGAAGCTGGTGTGGGGAGAGGCACAAAGCCCCTCCAGGATTCCACTCCCTGAGGAGCAGGAGGCCAATCCGCTGGGGCAGGGGCAGCAAACCCTGTCCCCTGCCAGGGCCCCTTGTGGCCGGGAGGAAGGGAGGCCTCCTGCCACAGGGCAAAGGGTGGGAATTGTTCTCCGGCACAAGACCCACCAAAGGCACAAGGCAGAGTTCGGCCAATTAGGCGCACATCTGAAGCATAGATATGAGGGCCTGTCTGTGTCTGAGGCTGCACCAGGACAACAGAGAATGCCACTGTCCCCACCAGACAGCATTCTCTATTGGAACTTTTAAAGTTAAAACTTGCTCTTCAAAAAACACTCTTAAAAAGGCTAGCCACAGACTGGGGCAAAATACCCAAAGCATATATGTCAGAAAAAGTCTTGCATCCAGAATCTATAAAAAACTCTTCACAACTCAGTAAGACAAAGAAGCCACTAGAATAAAAATGGGCAAACTTTTTGAACTGACACTTCACCAAAGAATAGTCATATAAGCACATGAAAAGATGCTTAATATCTTTAGTCATCAGCAAAATACAAATTAAAACCACAATGACAAACCTTGAAAATGGCTAAAATGACATGACTGACAACACCAAGTGCTGCTGAGGATGTGAAACAAGGGGTGTTCTCACCCTGCTGGTGGGACTGTAAAAGGGTGCAACTGTTTTTGGAAAATAATCTGGCAGTTTCTTAGAAAGTTAAGACCCATCTGCCATAAGACTCAGCAATCCTACACCTCCAGGTTTCTCAAGAGAAATGACCTGTACATGAATGTTTTTAGTACCTTCATTAATGATAGCCAAAAACCAGAAACAACCCAAATGTCCACCAGCTTCCATATCTTGGGAAACTACTGGGCAACAAAAAGAACAAGCTGCCGAGCATCCAGCAATCTGGATGCATCTCAAAACCATCACGCTGAGTAGAAGTCAGACAAGAGTACATCCTGTATGATGAGTCCATTTACATAAAATTCTAGAAAATGCAAACTGGCATACAGAGACAGGAAGCAGCTCGGTGGTCGCTGTGGATGGGGTAGGGGTGATGAAATGTGGGGTGATGAAATATTCAGTATCTGACTGGGCAATGATTTCATGAGTGCATACAAATGTTAAAATCATAAAATCATATACTTCAACTATGTGCAGCTTACTAAAAGTGCATGCTACCTTACTAAAGTAGAAAAAGGTTTACATTTTTTTGACTATATTAAAATGCAAAATGTTTTACATGGCAAAATCCCTCATATGTAGAACAAAAAAGCAAATGAAAATAGGAAACAATATTTGTAACTCAAATCACAAAAGGCAAATTTCTGTAACACACCATACATCAATAACAGAAATAATTCAACAGAAAAAAAAATTGGGCAAATGAAAGCAACAATTCAGATAAAAGGAAGCACCAATGACTTGAATACACAAAAGCAGCTCACTCATAAGAGAAATGCAAGCGAGAAATACTGCTTTCTTCTATCAGGCTGCCTACGATCAAAAAGCTGAAAATGCATTGTTGGTAAAGGTGTGGGAATGTAAGTAGGTTACCATCTCTATGGGATAGCACTCAAAACTACAAAAGCAAATTCCCTTTCTCACTAAGCACTTCCACTACTAGAAGTTTATCCTACAGATAAATTCCCACACGTGCAAAATTACAAAGCATAAGGTCACACACTCCAGCATTACTGGTAATGGCCACAAGACTGGAGAAACCTAAATGTCCATCCATGGAGGGTTTGTTAAAACAAATTATGGTACACCCAGCAGAACACTAAGATGCTCTGAAGAATGGGGAGGCAATGTTCACCCTGCTATACACAGGTCTCCAAGTTACGGTAAGTGGAAAATGGAAGGTGCGGGGTAGCACACATGTTGAATACCACTGTGTCAAAAAAGCGAAGAACATATGCAAGTATCAAGCTGTAAATGCAAAAAATGTCTCTAGAAGATTACACAAGAAAGAGTAAACAGGAGCTGCCTGGAGCTGGGAACCGGCCGGCTAGGAAAAGGGATAGGAAAGACTGCATACCCTTTTATATTTATTTTTAGCCATCTGCATCATTACTTATTTAAAGAATTAAAAGCATTTTTTATTGGGGGAGCGGGGGGACGCTGATGGCAATCACAGTGAGTATGCTCCATTCTCTGGCACCCAAACCCCTCAGCACTGCTGACACACTCCTATCAGAAACTGTGTTTCTCCTGACACAGCCTCACACAGAAATAAAAGTCCATAAGCCCAAAAAAGAAGGGTTTTGCTTACCAAGTTTTCCACTCCTCACAGCATCTAAAAGCCTTGCATACAGGAGGGCTCACATGTTTATCTCAACAAACATTACCTTAGTCAGCAATCCAGTTATCAACTGTTCACTATACACATGGTGCCGTGATGATTATGGAAAAGGACTGGCAAAGAGCTTATCTGCCAAGAATTCCAAATTAGAAATGAATGTAGGAATGGACTCACCAAGATGTCCAAAGGGATTGTTGTTATTCAAGAATCTTGCATAACAGGATTCCCAGAAATGTTTTTAAAGTACATTATTGTATTGTATCTAATGTAACTAACTATATCTCCATATAGAAATTATATATATATAAAATAGATATATCTCTGCTGGTACAATCCATCATTTCATGTACCCTAAGAAAGAAAAAACACCCAAGATTGGGAGACTAATAGAAAACTCTGCATAAAACTGAAGGTAAATTAAAAATAAAGGTGTATGCCTTAGACTTACATGTTATATGTCAATTATGTTCAAATTAAAAAAATAAATGAGAGGGCCAGCCGAGTGGCACATTGATTAGGAGTTGGCTTGGGATGCCAGCTCTGAGCAGCAGGGTGCCTGTTTGGATCCCACATTAGGGCCAGTGACACTGCCCTCTACAGCTAAGATGCTGAACAACAGCCCAACCTGGAGCTGGGCTGCCTGTGAGTTGCCGGCAATGGTGTAGGCTGCAGTGGGGCTGCAGTGGGCTGCCGTAAGCTACCGTGAGAGGCTGGCAGTGGGTGTGAGCTTTCCTGAGATGCCGTGAGCCGCTGTGAGCGGCTGTCCAATGGCTGGCGAGCGACTGCCTCGCCCGGGAAGAGCACAATGATAATACCAACATGGGCCAGTGAAGCAACATCCTCCACAACTAGACTGAAGAACAAAAGGACAGCAACTTGTCTGTTCCCCTTCCCCCAATTCCCCAGCACTGTTCCCATCCCCCAATTCCCCAATAAAATCTTTAAAACATAAATAAAATAAATGAGAAATAAAGAGAGTAAGAAAACTTGCATGTCTCGCCCTTGGCACTAGGTAGAAAATGGTGACAGGGAAAGTCCCCCGAGAACCTGAAACACCAGCTGCACTACCAGTATGGTCCCCAAACCCGTACACCCTTAAAGAGGCCGTGGACGGCAGTACTCCCAGGTGGCCAATGGAAGCAAACAAGAATCTTCTCTGGAAAAGCCTGACCAGTCAACAGCAAAGATGGGGCACCCCGAATTTTATGATGCATCTTGATTTCAAAAATGTTAACATATGGGGATAAATGTGCCTTGGAAGTGATGAAATGTGGTATTTATGATTTATAATAGAATTTTTGGGTGCAAAATTTTCTTATTCTCTTCAAACACTACACCCAATTAAACATCCTTGAAGTTTCTCATGGCACCACTTCTAGTAAGTTATTTTATAGTACTTTCTATAACTCTAAAATTTACGTTAAGGCCTAAAGACAAACATCTGACAAATTTATATACTACTACAGACATAAGGAAACAGTAAAACATGATGTATTACCCAAACATAAAAGTTTCTGAAGTTAAAAAATGATCTCAATTTTAACCAAAATGGAAGAGAGTTTAAGACTATTCCCTTTCTCTAATTATAAACTTACTTTATTGCTGCCAACTTTTTGGACACAGTTCCGTCTGCTGGAATCTTTTAAGAGGAAAAAAGAGCATTAAAGAAAATTCATTATTTGAACTATTACTTTAAATTAATTATATTTTAATTAATTGAATTCTAAATATCTAAGACCAATACAATGTGATTAAAAACACTCAAGGGAAATACTGAATCAGAAACAACCGTGTTGTAATGTTTATGGAGGTGGGAGGGGCGGTCAGGCAGGAGTCACAAGAAGAAGTCCTTTAAGAAGATTAAGTTAACAGTGGCATGTTAGATAAATCTGGGGTAGACAGCAGGTAGGAACCATAATCGGCCTCTGCAGCTGTGCTGACAAGAAGTAATGAGCACTTAGGTGGAACAATGGAAAAAGAAAGGAATGACTCATCTTAGCAAGAAAGCAGATGAAAAACAGGCGGGGATGATAAGCAGTAGGGTGGGTGGGACAAAGAAAAGACAAGGCTTGCAGCCTGGTGACACAAAATCATACAGAAAATCAGTAGGACATATAGGTTAGGATGGGGGCTAGATGGCGGTAAGCACAGGCATACTGAAATGTGTGTTCTGACATGGGGAAATGTGACTCACAAAGGCAGACAAAATATATGTAATAAAAGTGAGAAACAAATACCATGATAGAAATTATGGAGAATGTGCTAAAACCTTAGGAAATGTCTACTTTTAGAGAAGTGGACACTTTTGCCCTCTGGGGACATCTGGCAATGTCTGGAGGTATTTTTGGTTGTTACAACCGGGGTGGGAAGGGTGCTACCAGCACCTAGCAGGGCATCAGCCAGAGGTGCTGCTCAATGTCTTATAATGCACATGGCAGCCTCAAAGAACAAAGAATTATCCAGCACAAAATGCCTACGGTATCAAGGTGGAGAAACCCCATTTTATTTATTATTTTTTTACTTTTTTTTAGATTTTATTGGGAACAGCATTGGGGAATTGGGGGAAGGGGAACAGACGAGTTGCTGTCCTTTTGTTCTTCAGTCTAGTTGTGGAGGACGTTGCTTCACTGGCCCATGTTGGTATTATCATTGTGCTCCTCCCGGATGAGGCAGATCGGTCACCCGCCTCTGGATGGCAGCTCACAGCGGCTGTTGGCAGTTTACACCAGCTGCCAGCCGCTCAAGCTGCCTGCAGGCCACAAACAGTAGCTTACGGCAGCCCGCTGCAGCCCACGCCATCGCCGGTGACCCACAGCAGCCCAGTTCCAGGTCGAGCTGCTGTTCACCATCTTAGCTGCAGAGGGCAGTGTCACTGGCCCTCATGTGGGATCTGAACCGGGGCCCTGCTGCGCATAGCTGGCGTCCCAAGCCAGTTCTTAACCAACGTGCCACTCGACCGGCCCTTCTAATACACACTATCTATTCTAATACACATTAATTACATTAATTGGTCTATAGAATGCTCAGTTGGTGAAGTCAGATACCATTTATTTCTATAAAGTTTAAACATTAAATTGAGTTTTAAAAAAATATTTTGTCTTGGGCCGGCTGAGTGGCATGTTGGTTAAGATCTCGCTCAAGAGTTTGAGCTCTGAGCAACCGGTTCAATTCCCGGCCCGAGCTGAGCAGCTGCTGAGCTGCCAACAGGTGGCAGGATGGCTCAGCTAAAAAAAAAAAAAAAAAAAAAAGAGCTGCCTTGGGACACCAGCTCTGAGCAGCAAGACCGAGGTTCAGATCCCACGTGAGGGCCAGTGACACTGCCCTCTACAGCTAAAATGGTGAACAACAGCTCGACCTGGAGCTGGGTTGCCGTGAGTCGCGACGGCGTAGGCTACAGCCCCTGCTGCAGTGGGCTGCCATAAGCTACCATGAGTGGCCAGCAGCCAGCGTGAGCGGCCTGCAGCCGGCGTGAGCTGCCAAGAGCCGCTGTGAGCAGCCGTCCAGAGGCCAGAGACCCATCTGCCTACCCAGGAAGAGCGCAATGATAATATCAACATGGGCCAATGAAGCAACGTCCTCCACAACTAGGCTGAAGAACAAAAGGACAGCAACTTGTCTGTTCCTGTTCCCCTTCCCCCGATTCCCCAATGCTGTTCCCCTCCCCCAATTCCCCAATAAAATCTTTAAAAAAAAATAATAATTTGTCTTTCTATGCTCTGAGCATAAGTACTGTTTGCAGCAGCCATTTGCAAACCCCCATATTGAATGCCTATAATTCCAGAAAATCTATTCAGTAAGTATTAATGCTTCTGCCTACTGCACTGACACAGTAAACCAAAGTTACCCATCCACCCTCCAAAATACAGTGTTGGCCTTAGTAACAAGGATATCATTTTACTATGTGAACTCACTAAATTATTTAACAAAGACAAGAGTCAGCAGTGGATACTAAGGGTGACTCATCTCTTGGGCTAGATTTGAACCTGTTGATTCAAAAGCCTAAAGTCAAGAGCTCCTCCATCTCACTAAACCAATAATACAGTAATAAGTCTGACCTACATGTAATACGTTTTAAGATTATGCAATTTTAAGGGGGAAGAAAACATACCATAGAACGAAATCGTACAGATTCTATCTGTCCATATTCTTTAAAAAATGACTTCAGCTTCTAAAATAAAAAACATATATACTTTAGTCCACTTTCAGAACATCAAATAAGTACTATGAAAAGAAATTATGTAACACTGTCTGATAATCTTTTATTGACAGGTTTTATTTTAGTACATTTCAGGAAAAGTAGGTGACTTTTCCAACTTTTAGTTGGAAAACAAAAGAATTTTACTGAGACTTAGAAAAAAAGAAAACATTTCAAGTTCATGTTAGTATCCAAAAGTACACAACATTTTGGTCTTTTAATCTTTGATAATCTTTACCACATGTAAACTAAGATTATGTGGTCCACAGATTCTCTCATCTTTTCACACTGGCTTAAACCAGAAATGAATTTTAAGGATGCTTATATCACTAAGAGAAATTCCCTAACTGTCTGGAATTAGGACCATAGGATTGAAGAAAAAGCTGGTGTGAATTTTATATATTATTCTTATGAGTGGTTCAGGATGTGAAAAGTGTATGCTTTACAGCTAGAACTATTGGGTTGTCGGAAAAGTCATGACGTATTTTTTCTATGTTTTTCATTGCAAAAATGCGTCATGACTTTTCCGACAACCCAATATAATCAATTCTAATTCATACACCATGTATTGAATGTGCAAAGCACCACCACTGCATACTCCCTTCCCTTGAGATTATAATCTAACAGGAAGATCAATAACCAAAACTATGCTACAAATGTGTTCTGTTCTACAAAATAATCACAAATCAAATACTAGGAGACAAAAGTGTAAGAGGGAAAGGAAAAATCCAGGAAGTAAGTTTTTGGCACTATTTTGTTTTTAAGGAAGTGGAATTTTAATTGTTCTTCAAAAGATGAGCACGATTTTGACCCAAGAGACTGTCAACAGCAAACACAAAGAAAGGGCTTGTTTTGGTTTAGTGACACCCCCAGCCCCCATCCCATAGTGGAGGAAACTTAGGATGTATTCATTCATTTACACAACAAATATTTTCCACCCTCTACTATGTGCCAGACACTGCTTCAAGTGTTAGGGAAAGAGCAGAGAAGGAAAGAGATAAATACCCCTGCATATATAGAGCTTGTGATCTAGTGGCATGTAACAGGAAATAAGGCTGGAAGAAAAAAACAGGCAGGAGGCCACCGCAACAGTTCAAATGAGACTTGCAAAAGCCTTAATTAGGACAGTGACTATGGGAATGGAAAAGAGGGGTGGATACTGGAATCAATCTATAGAAAAGTTTATGTAGTCATTTATAATGAAGTTATATATCAATATAACTTATTATGTGTTTATTCAATGAAGGAACAGTAAACAAAGTTATGAATTATTAACTTCTCTGAATCCTTACAATAAACAGACTACACACTCACCTTCTTATTACACGTGACAGGCAAATTCCCAACAAACACAGTTCTCTCATTCTTTAATTTCTCTTCTTCTTGGTTGATTTGAATTTTCTTTCTTTGATTTACAACTGTGTCATCTTCATCAAGTGCTTTTATATCTGCTACTTTAACAGCAGATTGAGAATTTTTGCTTTTCTGCCTTTGTTTCTGGTGAATTTCTTCTTCTAAATCAGCACTTGCTAGAGCATTTTCTCTTTTTAAGGGGGGGAAAAGAAAAAAGTCATGGAAGTCAGGGCTAGCGGTTGACAAAGCACAGTGATTAGAAATATTTCCCAGGCTGGCAGAGTGGCGCGTTGGTTAAGAGCTGGCTTGAGATGCCAGAGGGCCCTGGTTCGGATTCCACATATGAGGGCCAGTGACACTGCCCTCTACAGCTAAAATGATGAACAACAGCTCAACCTGGAGCTGGCTGGGCTGCCGGGAGTCGCCAGCAGCCAGCGTGAGTGGCCAGCAGCCGCTGTGAGCGGCCATCCAGAAGCCGGTGACTGATCTGCCTCGCCCGGGAAGAGCACAATGATNTGGGCCAGTGAAGCAACGTCCTCCACAACTAGACTGAAGAACAAAAGGACAGCAACTTGTCTGTTCCCCTCCCACAATTCCCCAATAAAAATCTTAAAAAAAAAAAAAAGAAATATTTTGCAACCACTTCTGGCTTTCCTAAAAACTTACCATTCACAAATATATCTAAATTTTAAAAGTAGCATTATCAAAAAGTGACTAGTATCTTCAGAAAACTCAAGAGTTAGAAAAAGTTTAGCTCAATTTTTTAAGATATGTTAAAACTGCCAGGTAATAGCGAACACCAAAAGTTCATTTGAATGAAAATTGGTTCATTTAAAGCTCTTAGAGACTTAGTTTACACTCTCCCAATGCCTAATTTCATTTTCTGCTCTAAACTACAGGGACCCTGCAGCACTCTCTGGGGTCTATAAAGGTTAATATGCTTGCAAAATACTTTGTAAAGAAATCTGGCCAATAGGAAAATCCAGATTTCCTACCTATAGTTAATATTTAAAGGGCTCCTTGTCAAAAGTAAATTCTCGGGCCGGCCAAGTGGCGCGATGGTTAAGAACTGGCTTGGGACGCCAGAGGGCCCCAGTTCGGATCCCACATGAGGGCCAGTGACACTGCCCTCTACAGGTAAGATGCTAAACAACAGCTCAACCTGGAGCCGGGCTGCCGTGAGTCACTGGCGACGGCAAGTCACTGGCGACTGGCGACGGCGTAGGCTGCAGCCCCTGCAGCAGTGGGTTGCCATGGGCTACCGGATGTAGCCAGCAGCCAGTGTGAGCGGCCAGCAGCCGCAGTGAGCAGCCATCCAGAAGCCGGCGACTGATCTGCCTCGCCCGAGAAGAGTGCAATGATGGCGCCAAATTGGGCCAGTGAAGCAACGTCCTCCACTAGACTGAAGAACAGAATGACAGCAACTTGTCTGTTCCCCTTCCCCCAATTCCCCACCGCTGTTCCCATCCCCCCAATTCCCCAATAAAAATCTTTAAAAAAAAGAAGTAAATTCTCAAACATCAAATACAATATAAAGTGTTGATGCACGCGGATACAGAGAGGTCTGAGCATGAGTCCCACAGGAGAACTGACCTGGGATCTTAAAGAGTGAGGGGAGAGAATGGAGATTAGGAGTCATTTATTTATTCATTCTTTCCTGAGTTCCTACTCAGTTTCAGCCTCTGCCCATACAATTATAGGCCTTCCAATAGTCCAGTCTCTGAAGAGACAGGCTAAGTTCACAGTCAAATGGTAACATTTATAACACATAATGTAGAAACAAAAAAAAACAAGAAAGTCTTCTCAGAGAAAAGGCAGCACGCAGTCAATCCTCAGTAAACGCTGACCACTATTATTCCTTCATTACAGTGTAAGCTCCACTAAGGAGCAGGTCCATGTCTAGTGTTTTGCTCATTACCGTAAAGTAGCCAGGAGTGAAACGAAACGAGACAGTTTGGAAAGGTGGGAGTCAGGTCAAGAAAGACTGGGCCTGTCATGCGAAAGTGCTCAGATTTATCCCACAGAAGATGAGGAGCCACTGAAGACTTTGAGAATGCCTAAGAAAGATCATTTGGGCAATAGGGTGGAAGATAATTAGGAAGGGGACAAGACTGGGCAAGGGAGACCAGTAAGGAGACAGTTACAACTGCATGTAGCTGAGAAGACAACAGACCAGCCAGACAAGGGAGGGGGTGGACATGGAAACACAGATAAAACACATAATTAAGAGACAGCATCATCAGGGAACTGGCAACTGATTAGACATGCAGGGAACAGAAAGAATGTGAGATGACTCCCAAGTCACTGGCTCAGGCAACTGGAAGGCTGGTGGCCCCACTCGTGCAGGGGAACAGGTTTGATGAGGATAACAAGCTTCAGTTTAAAGCATTCTGAATTTCATGTGTATATGTAATTTCCAGGTCCAGAAGCCAATGGGCAAACAGATACACAGGTTTGGAGATCACAATGGAGGCTCACCGGCACAAACCAGATGACCCAGAATGATGGCTGAAAAAAGGTCATGAGATAACTGAGAACAGAATCCTGAGGAAAATCAACATTTAAGAGCAGTCAGAAGAAAAAGTACTGACAATAACACGAAGAAGCAACAGACAAAAGGAGAATCTGAAGAGATTGTTAAAGAAGAATCTAACAGCTTCGAGAATAAAAGCAGCTATGTGAAATGTAACAGGGAGGACTTGTAAGACAAAGGCTGTATTGCCTACTAAATATGACAGCTAAGTCAGGAATGCTTCAGTGAGCACTGTTTCAGAAATATAGTCAGATTAGGGCCGGCTGAGTGGCTCAGTTGGTTAAGAGCTCGCTCAAGAGTTTGAGCTCTTAGCAACAGCGGTTCGAGTCCTGGCCCAAACTGAGCAGCCGCTGAGCTGCCAACAGGTGGCAGGATGGCTCAGCTAAAAAAAAGAAATATAGTCAGATTAAATAAAAACAAACAAGACTGTATGTGCGTGCAAGACAAAACAGATCAAGAAAAGACAGCACATATAAAGAGTTCTTTTTCTAACCTAACAGCTTGACTATGAAGGAAAAGGGTTGAGGGAATCGTGCCAGAGACTCATGTCCATGGATGGGGTTTTGTCTGGTTGGATTTCTCTTTTTAAGATGAGACTCTTAGGTACGTTTATATGACAGACAGAACAACGATACAGGAAAGAGGAGAAAGGGAATATATCTGATGGCATAATCCCCAAGCAGGCAGAAGAAGAGGTATGTGGTATACACAGCACAGGTGACTAAAATAATCTGGGACAAGAAGACAACTTTCTCTGAGAAAAAGGGGAAGAAATTCAAGATGTGCATAGATATGAGGTGTGATCAAATAATAGGGTGAATGTTTAAATAAAAAAAATGTATTACAGTAAAAGACACATTACCATTAATCCCTCTCAAAATACTCCCCCTCGCTTCGAACACACTTACCCCATCATTCTTGCCACGTTCTGAAGCAGTTCTGGAAGTCTTCTTTTGTTAGTGTCTTTAGTTGCATTGTCATGGCTGCCTTGATGTCCTGAATCATTTTGATTTTGGGGAAGAGCCAGAAGTTGCATGGTGCAAGATCCAGTGAATAAGGCAGATGAGGACACACGGTAGTTTTTATATGACAGAAATTGCTGTATACCAGAAGCAATGTGTGACACGAAGCATTGTTATGATGGAGGATGATTTACAGCACACTTTAAAACACACCTTCTCTCAACCGTAGCTCACACCCAACTGACTGCATCGAACAAGTTAAAACTTGTCACACACTATTACTACGGTTCAATGCACCACTTCCCATATTAAAGATTCCTGCCTTTCCATTGGATGGCACTCAGCAGCAGCATTCAATGTACTTTTTTATCACAATGCTCCATGTCACACATTGCTTCTGGTACGGCAATTTCTGTCAAATAAAAATATTACTGTGTGTCCTCATCCGCCTTATTCACTGGATCTGGCACCGAGTGACTTCTGGCTCTTCCCCAAAGTCAAAATGATTCAGGACATCGAGGCAGCATGACAGTGCAACTAAAGACACTCATGAAAGAGGACTTCCAGAACTGCTTTAGAAAGTGGCAAGAACAATGGGGTGTGTTCAAAGCGAGGGGGAGTATTTTGAGAGGGATTAATGCCAATGTGTCTTTTACTGTAATAAATTTTTTAAAATTTAAACATTCACTGTAGTTTCTGATCACACCTTGTACGTTAAATAGGAGGAAAAACAGCAGTAGCTCACAACTGTTAGCAATTGATAGCTCTCTGAATAGGTAACAAGACCACACTTGCTGAGAGAGAAAAGAGAAATAAGATTTGAAGAGAATGTGGCTTGATATACTGAAGAGTTAACTAAGTGATGGTACTGCTATTTGGATCTTGATTCAAATATGTAACTAAAAAAAATGTAAGCTAATGGGGTAAATGTGATCTCTGACCATGTAAGGTTAAGAAAACCAAACTCGGGCTGGCCAAGTGGTTCAGTTGGTTAAGAGCGCGAGCTCAGAGCAACAGGGTCGCCGGTTTGATTCCCACATGGGCCAGTGAGCTGCGCCCCAGTTGAGCCGCTGCTGAGATGCCAACAGGTGACAGGATGGCTCAGCTGGTGAGAGCACGTGCTCCTAACAACAAGCCTGCCGGTTCCACTCCCACATGGGATGGTGGCCTACGCTCACCCACAACTAAGACTGAACACAGCACCATGAGCTGAGCTGCCCTGAGCTGCCGAAGGGTGGCCAGATGGCGAGTGGACTCGGAGCTGAGCTAGCTGTGCCCTCCACAACTGAGACTGAAGGACAACAACATGGCTGTTCCCCTTCCCCAATAAAATCTTTAAAAAGAAAAAAGAAAACCAAACTTATCTTTTATTCACATGGTGAAATAGTTATAGATGAAACATAAGCCTTAGGTTTGCTTACAAATAATGAGGGGGATAGGAATGGGGTAAACATGAAGTGAGATTGGCCAAGCATTAATAACAGCTGATGTTGGGTACATGGGGGGGTGGGGGTAAAGGGGGGTGGTTCTTATCCTTTTGAATAGGCATGAGATTTTTCCATAAGAACTATGAAATGAGAAAAAAATTAAGATGGCTATTGTAGGTATAAGAACCTCAATTTCTTTACTATCTAATTTCTTTTTTTTTTTTAAGATTTTTATTGGGAATTGAGGGATGGGAACAGACAAGTTGCTGTCGTTTTGTTCTTCAGTCTAGTTGTGGAGGACGTTGCTTCACTGGCCCAAGTTGGCACCATCATTGCGCTCTTCCCGGGCGAGGCAGATCAGTCGCCGGCTTCTGGACGGCCGCTCACTGCGGCTGCTGGCCGCTCACGCTGGCTGCTGGCTACACACGGTAGCCCATGGCAACCCACTGCCACAGGGGCTGCAGCCCACGCCGTCGCCGGCGACCCACGGCAGCCCAGCTCCAGGTCGAGCTGTTGTTCAGCATCTTAGCTGTGGAGGGCAGCGTCACTGGCCCTCATGTGTGAGATCAGAACAGGGGCCCTCTGGCGTCCCAAGCCAGCTCTTAACCACCACGCCACTCAGCCGGCCCTACTATCTAATTTCTTTAATCAATGAAAAGGAATTGTACCAACCTGTTTGCCAACCTTTTGTCTGCATCAGAAAGTTTCTTCTTCCCTTTCACTTTTTTTGCAGGTTCTTGCAAAAGTGGTCTTTGAATTTGGGATGTACTTTCTTCCTCCTCATCCCGTTTCCTTTTTTTGGTGGTTTCCTTTTAAAAGTTTGAAGTTATGCATGAGACCTCATCCTTTTTAATAATTTAGCGGTCTTTCTAAGCATCTTCTCTCTCTCTGGTGTGCCCAGTAATGAAAAGTTACTTGAAATTCATCCTATCTGCCCCACTTTAAAAACCATGCCCTGCGAGGCAGATTCTTAAAGTTGTTCTAACGGGACGTTCGGAGTAGAACCAGGTGACTTACTTTAGGCACAGGCACGTACACGGGTTGAAGCTGAGGCTCCGCGGAGCTGAAGAGGGCCGCCAGCCGACCTGGGCCGCCTCTGGAGGGGCGCCCGCCATGGACTAGGCTGTCGGAGACCTGTCCAACCAGGTAGTCTCCAGTCAGAGGCCCACCGCCGCCGTCTTCCAGGCTCTCCCTAAAGACCGACGCCAGAGACTCAGCAACATCGCGCCACCGCTCACCTGCCCGAACCCAGGGGAACGTGCCGCGCGCCACTCACCCCTCCCCGGCACTCTTCTTTTTCCTCCGTTTGCTCTTCCCTTCCAGGGCCATTCGCATTAGGAGGCCACCAGGAACCCCAGCACGCGAGCCCGCACTTCCGGGCCCGGCGACTTCCGCAGAAAACCACGCCCCTTCCGCTCTAGGGTCTGTGCAGCGGCGCTGGGGGCGGAGACACTGGCGACTGCACACACCCAGTGGTGGGAAAGCGCTGAGGCTCGGTTTTCTTCTTGGTTGTTTCCCAGAAACCTACTCTCGGGAGTGATGCGTCTTCCGACAGTAACTGAGATCCTACGTATGAATGAGAATCAACCAGGCCGGGAGTGGGGCTGAGTCTCAGCAGAGGGAGAGCACGTACGAAACACCGAATTGTTGGAGAGGAAGGAGGTTGTCAAGGAACGAGGTTGCAGGGTTGCGAGTGTTAATTGTCGAATCGGTGTGAAAGGTGCGTGGGACTTCTTCGTAGTGCTCGTGCAACTTTTCTGAAATTGGACATTATTTTAAAATAAAGTTAAAAACAAATAGTTGGAAACCATAGCTCTCACCTGCTCTGCCCTGCTATTCTAGCAGGAAAAGTGGAAGCTTGGCACGCAAAACTGCTTATCTGCCCAGCTTCTTCAAACCCTTACATTCCAGCCTTTTTTTCACCACCTTGTTATTCCTTCCGTTTTGTTATTCCTTCTTATTCTTGTCCTCCCTCCCCCCACCCACAATTGCTCTTCTCTTTACCCCTCATTTTCACCTACAAAATTGTATCTTATCCTTCAAGGACCAGCTCAGATACTATCTTATGAAAATTTCCCAGCATTTACAAGAGGTATAATCTTGTTCTAAGCCTCCATGTATTTGCATTAGTGTTATTCAGTCTACCATAACTATGTTTACCATAACTATGTGAATTTTGGTAAATTGACTTTTAGGTAACAAAAGATAAATACTAGATTACAATTAGATAAATTGAATTGTTTTGGTGGTAAAATAGGATATGACTTTGAATCTATGGGAACAGACTTAGCTTTTTGAAAGCTGCTTAAGAGAAGTCACTGGGAATATTATGTGACCTTTTATAGCTCACCTCAGATAAGTTCATGGAAAAAAAAAATCCAACTGCTTGACTCTAGTTTTGATTTCTCAGTCCTTTATTTTGGTTTGCCGTAACTGTGACCTTGTATTGCACAAAGATGAGAAAAATCGAACTGTCCATATTTGCAGTTCAAACATCTATCTCCATGTGTTCTATACAGTCCAATTAAATTCTGTTCATTCTTCCTTCAGAATGTCTCCCAATCTCACCGCCTAACACTATCCCAGGAATCACTTCCTATCTGGAGCACTGCAACCTCATCACATCTGGCCTTCCTGATTCTTCCTCTCCACTCTAGCCTGCACATTCCATTTCCAGTGTATCTCCCTTGAATGTTAAGGTTTGCATCTCCTCTAAGTCACCATCGGATGGGTTATCACATTCTTGTATGCTCATACACTGGCACCTTTAAATTCTTATGCACTTATTTTGACTGCCCATAAAATTTTATACACTTTTATCTCTCATATATATTACTTCCACAACTAAACCATGTAACAATTTCTCCAAGGGATTACATCTTATATGTATAAAAACCATCATATGATGTTAGCCAAAAATCCATAAATATCCGGTTAAAATTATAAATTTGGAGAAATGGACTCACAATGAGAGGAAGCACACACTTCTTGAGTAAAATATTATAAAAGAGGCTGTGGTTGGAGAATTAAAAAAATGATTCCCATTGCTGTCCAGAACTGTTTTTTAACCACTAAGAGATCACTTAACCCCTTTTAAAGAGTTTCTTAAAATATAAGGATTCTTTCCACAGAAAAATGCCAACGAAACATGTAATGTTAGGGATTTCATGGAATTTGCTCTATCTTCCCCAATTTCTCCAGGTTAAGAAAATTAGTAAGACCTGACTCTCAGGTCAATATTTCAGTAGGAAAAAAAGGTTTTGGAGAATACTGTTAAAAATATACCATCTTAATTTTATTATAGATTATAAAGCAGGTTGATAAAATGTAGTTTGGGTGACCAGGGGAAAACTGAAGTCAATTTCTAGTAATACCATGAAATTCTCAAAGTCTCCAGAGAAGCTGGGAAGAAGAGAGCACAAGCAGGAAGAGGGCAGAGAAGCCCAAGGGTGTAAACCTCAACTCCAACAGAGTTTGGAATCATTCTCCTGTAGGGAGCTGTTTCTGTAACAAAGTAGGTGATATTAGTAGTTCCCTGAAAAACAGGGTTTCATGATCGGGTAAGATTGAAGACAGTCGGGTAAAGGAAGATGGCCAGGTGTCTCTTCAGAGGCCTCCAAGTTTTTAGTATGCTAACATAATCTCTAAGGCAGCGGTTCTCAACCTGTGGGTCGCGACCCCTTTGGGGGTCGAACGACCCTTTCACAGGGGTCGCCTAATACCATCGGAAAACAAAAATATATTTACATTACGATTCATAACAGTAGCAAAATTAGTTATAGAGGAGCAACGAAAATAATTTTATGGTTGGGGATCACCACATGAAGAACTGTATTAAGGGGTCGCGGCATTAGGAAGGTTGAGAACCGCTACAAGGGGATGTGCTATATACAGCATTTCCAAAATACATTTGACAATAAATTCCCAGAGCATTTCTGGGGTCCAGCATTTTATGACCTTAGGAAGCACTAAACAGATTTTAGTGCTTCCTAAGCACTAAAACTCATCCCTTAAAAGTTAAACCAATTTCTGTGAAAATAAAGTCATCCCAAAGGTGCTTTAGTACACATGTGAGCTTTTTAGGCCTTAAAATAGTTTATTTTCTTTTTGTTTTAAAGAAAGGATATTCTCTTGGTAGAAAGTTCATTAAACGGGGCAAAAAAAGGTTTTGAAGTAAGCAGTGGTTCTCAACCCAGATGCATATTAAAATCACTGGAGACCTTACAAAAAAAATCAGCATCCAGATACCATCCCAGACCAATTATTTCAGACCAATTAAATACGACATTTTGAGTGTGGGGCCTGAGCATTGATGATCGTTGTAACAATGCCCAGTTATTCCAATGTGCAGTGAGTACAATGCACTAAAAGTATGAGAGACCCACAAAGGTCCATTTAAATTTAAAGACCCAAAAAGGTGGGGGGTGGGGGAGGGAAGAAGCTGCTGGTAATGATTTCAAGTGTGTTAAAGAAAAAACAACTTTGATTTTCTTTTTTAGACAAATCTCCAAGTCCTAAGTATTCATGCTCAGACTCAAGCAAAATAGTGCATGCAAAGATGTAAGAATGCCTAATAAATCCTTTCTCTGGTTGATGGAGTTTTAATTTTTATAGGTAGAATGTTCCCTTTTCTGTATGTCAATTAACCCCTCCTGATAATACATGCTGGAGATATATGTTCCAATCAGTCATCACATACAGAAATGAACTAAAATTACTTAATCTTTTAGAAACAAAATCAAGGATTCACAAACTATGGCATTTTATTTCAGAGCCTTTGCTTACATTTGTACAATATATTACATAATTCTTCATTGTTTGCAGATCCTAATATATATTTTATAGCTTTTGTTCTATAAGCTTTTTCTTCAATGTTTTGCTGTCAACAAATCTTTACAGTCCTGTACAAATTTGAGTAACTTGAAACCATTTTCAACAAAATTAGTTACTGTAAGCACACACTACAAGACTGAAAATGCTTTTCTTAGAAAAGTTGAATGTAAAGAATTCTGACACATTAGCATCTACAACAAAACGCTTCGAAATTCTCACATGTCGTATTGCCAGAAAACAAATAAAACATGCCAGCCCCATTCAAAAAAAGTACACAGAACTACAATTAAAACAGTAAAACAGTCTGTACAGTAAAGTACTGTGTATTAACAGTGCCAGGTATTAAATAGCTTGAATGAACACATCCGCAATATACAAATGTCTTACAAAGGTGTAGAATTAAATACAAGTGCCAAACAGAACAGATATTGGAATCATACAACATAAAGTCAGTACAAGTGAAAACAATTTTGAGTTCATTTTGGATTTTTATACAAGGCATTTTTTTTTTATAGGCCTACCACCCGGATTAGCTATTTATACTTAAAATAACAACTATCCTTTTGAGACAGTTCCTATCAACAACCTTGAACCATACTAATACAGTTTACTTGTTCCTGAAGTCCTCTTGTTGTAGCTCATAATAAAATAAGCAATACAAATGAATTATCTGTATTTAAGGAAAAGAAACATTTACAAGAAAACACAAAAATATAACTGTTATAATTCATTATGAATAAATATACACTTTGAACTGGCTAAGTACAACCTTTATACATTGTTTAAGATTTAATACAGTTTATTAGCCATTTTCTTTTTTCACACAATGTATTATATCAAAATTAAAAAAAAATACTGATTTATAGAAAAATGGCAAAGTACAGTAGTTCCATTCCAATTTGAAGGGGCATGAAAAGCCACTGCAAGACCTTTTAGCCTAATTCAAACCTGTAAACATGTTCAGTCTTTTTTAAAGAGAATCTTTAATATTTGGTTACCAGGATTGATGTTTGATATCCTGTTAACTGCAGGTTTTGAATTTATTACATGTGCTTGACTTATACAATTAAAGCCACCCAAAGGTGACTTGCTTTAAAAAACAATTAGCTTGTACAAATGAAAATAGGTTCATATTTTTTCATAAATAAATGGAAAAATATCAAATGCTCCAGCTTTAACAAAATACAAGGGAATACATATACAGTAAGTTATCTTACCATGTTCTGGCCAACCCAATAACTACGCTTACTGTATTATCTCTACAGGCAGTGAAAAGCCTCCATTTGCCACAGTGGAAGGCCTTCAAGTTACCAGACACACAATTCCCAGACAAGTTGGAAACAATTATTGCTTGAGGAAAAGCAGTTCATTGTACTTTTTCTTCATAAAAAAAGTGCACTTAAGTGCCAAGTCAGCTTGTCAAGAAACAATTTTTAAATATAAAATAGTGCTTGTCTGATTTTTTTTTTTGTGCCACTGTGCAGTATAAAAAAGACGTGGCCCTCAACAGCCATTAAGTGCAAAGTGCTTTAGCAAGTCCTGCTGTCACCTGCACTCAACTGACAT